CTCGTTTGAGTTGATCTTCGATTGATCTATTTCTCGGGTCTTAATCTGTTTCTCTGGTTTCAGCACCTCCTGTTCTGTACCCCAACGGTTAAGTTGATTTTCAGATGAGTTGATTTTTCTTTCACTCCCTCAACGACATCAACTCTTCCGTAGTGTATGTTCGTTCAGATTTATGTATAAAAAGTGTTTTCTATTTTTGCTTTGTTTTATAATAACATACTAACTCAATTTGTTGTTTTTGTTCACTTTTACACTAATATATGGCGTCGAGTAGTTTGAAGAAACGGGCATGGGACATCATTTGAGGAAAAAAATATTTTTATTAACAATTTTTTTTTGTCTCCTAAAGTCCAACCCCTCGGTCCTCGTCCTGGGAGATGGAAACAGAACAAAGTAGAGGGTTTCTGGATTCGGGTGAGGTACGGTGTGACGTCATGTCACGTGGGCCGACCTTGGTAACCTTGACGTGTTTCTGGCTAATGGGGCTCTGGTAAAGCTGTTGTAGGCAGAGAAACCTCACAGTGGATAGAACTGTTGTTTATAATATAGAATAAAAAATGCCTGCATGTACTGATTTCAATAGAACTTACTTTGCAAACAGACCTTAATAAATTTGCAATACAATGAAGAGGTACACATATTATACATAGGGCCAACTATAGACATGTACCCTAACCCCCACTTGCAAAGATGAAAAGACAAGATTATATTATGAAGAAATATGTGAGGCAGCGTGGTGGAATCAGGCTCTCGTCAAAATAATCAAACTGAAGAAACTTTCATTTTTCTGCAGGTTTGTGAATTTTTATAAAATTTTGGTTTTTTTGGCTCAACACCTTTCATGCTCATTAAAGAACTCATTTCTATGTGGATTTTTCTGAAAAACGTTGATTAAAGGCACAAAAAAATGTAAATTTTCAGTTACCACAGACTCTTAAGTTAAAGAAATAACTAATCTTTGGCGGCCATTTCCTCATTAATTTTCACTGAAAACAAGTGACCCCCACCTCCTTCATTCGCAAATATCTCGACTTGAATTCAAGATAAATGATATTTTTTTTCATCCAAATAAAGGCAAGTGAACACGCTTTAAGATGATACCAATAACTCTAAATGCCCCAAAATTGACGAGAGCCTGATTCCACCACTATGCCCCACATATATCAGACTCTGAAAAAAGTTAAATCGAATGATGTACTCGTCATAATCGAAGACCTGAAATCCGTACGTTATAGTAGGAATGGGACAATACGGTACCAAGACATCATTGGCAATAGGAAAACGAAGCAAAAGAGGGGAAAACTTTTGTGAGGGGTAAAATGGAATGATAGCAAACACCTTCTTTCATCAACCAGCAAGAAGACTGCCTGGACTTGTCAACAGACATCAACTGGAATAGTAGGCCTACATCATGATCAGAAATAGATTCAAAAACAACATTAAGCAATATAATATATTTTTAGATCTAAAATATACCTAGAAGCTGAATCAAACTCTGACCACACCACCCTCTTTGCAAATAAGAATTTGAAGAAAAAGTCCGATATGAAAGCAAACAAGATGCACATTAACTGGGTGAAATTGAAAATAATAGAAAGAATGGTGTCCCTAGTGGATTTTAAAAACAGAATACGAAGTTTTCAGAAAAGAAACAGTTGTACAACACAGAAGAGAAAGTTTCTACGAAAAGATTGACTTTTAATAGAAAATAACTTCAGCGGTAGCATAAGATGTGGAGCAGTAAAATTGCCCCAAAAAGTGAGAACAATCAATGTTGTTGTTTTTTTACATGGATCACTGAGGAAATCTTATAGTGGGCTCCCTAACTCCACCCCCAATGCAAATTTTATTAGGAACATGACACTTAGCACACAAGTACCTTGAACAAAACTAAGAATTTTGATAAACGGACACAAGGTCTATCTGCATAATTTCACTCTAATTTGCATGAATTAAAAATGACCGCCATTGATAAATCAAGCAAAATGAAAATAACTCTAAATTATCATACACATCTTCGATTTTCATGAAAATGATATCAAAATATATGTTTTGGGGATGCCTTAACCATTGAAATCAAAATTTTGGATGTAGAAGGTCCGGTTTTTTTATGTATTCAATATGTTAGTCACATGATGTGATTATGAAGTATATATATTTTGTATATTATTTCAAATTGACAAGCTTGGACCTCCGCTTTCACCAGTCACCCCATTGATGATGCTTCCCATTTTTAGGGAATCAGCTCACAGTCCAATGATGGTATTCCATGGGATGAACATTGTTGCTGCTGTTACAACGCAACTGAATTCAGGACAGACCCCGGTCATGGTTTCTGATCAGCCACTCTTTACATTGGCAAAGAAGATTCCGTGGAAATTTTCAGATGTCTTGGGAGAGGACAAGTTTGTGGTGATGCTTGGGGCGCTGCACACAGAGAAAATGCTGTTTGAAGGGCCTATGGGAGTGACTGGAAGGGAGTGGATGGACATCACTTCTGTCAGTCAGTGGAGTTGCTGATTCTATGATGTAGGTGACACAACTGACCGGCACTCGCTACATGCACCAAGTCACAGCTCTTGCTTTGTATTGTTTACTGAGACACTCCCATCGTGAATACCTGACAACAACTATTGAAGATGAGCCTTTGGAACCGGGTGCTTGGATTAGGTATCAGCGAGATCGAGAACCGCAATTCTTGTACTGACACCAGACTCTTGAGCTGCAGCTGATGGTTCTGCTGTTTGTGAAGTTGATTCGGACTGCATCGTTTGATCTGTACTTAGTGACTTTAGAACATCTCACGCCATGGGTGTATGCTCTTGATCACATACACTATGTCCGCAATCTACCCTTTCATCTACAAGATATGTGTGGCCTTCAAGAAATACATCCAACAGTTCATAAAGAGTTCATAAAGGGAAAATTCGTTGGACAGAAGACAAGTCCTACATTTTCTAGCATTGCCTTCGACCAAATTCATGAGCAGCTCATCGGTTCTTTGAAGGGTGATGGAGGAATAATTGGGCTGACTGATTATCCTGTAGCCCTTGAAAGATGTATGATTACTGGACCAGAACTTGCTTGCATCTTTGAGGAGTTCGAAAACACACCTCAAAACAGTAACAGGAAGCACCATGAACAGTATCCTAAATGTCGAGAGACTTTCAGAGAAGATGTGAATGGCTTAATCAGTGCATTCTCTGATGTGGGAAATCCTTTCCTTGAAGTATCTGGGCAGTTGATTTCTCTTGACAGGTCCATAATCATGACAGGAGATGTTGTGAGCTCTGTGAGAAACATCACCAAAAAATTGGAAAAGTCAAGTATGATACATTCTTTTCAGAAAGGGTTTCATCCAGCACACCCCCATAAACCTCCACCTTTCACCTGAATAGATTGCCTCTTTTCGGTGTAAAAGCTCAACAACGTAAAGAAAAATCCTACTTTGCTTCTATGAAGGAAGAGCGAACGCAGTTTATTTAAATGATGCTCCCCGGGCAAGCAGGAAGGGACATTGGTGAAGAAATGTTTGCACATGAGAACACTACATTACCACCATCTCTTAGTTCCCAGGGTCAAATGCACAAAGAAACAAAATCTGAAATTCTCAACATTCGTGCTAGTGACAGTGATGTGGTGATAATAGCTGTGTCCTATTTCCAAGATCTCAACCTTGATGAGCTCTTGATAGCCTTTGGATCCGGCAAATCATACAGACATATCCCAGTTCACCAGATTGCTATGCAGTTGGGACCTTCCAAGTCTCGAGCTCTTCTAGCATTTCATTCTCTGACCGGCTGTGACACCACCTCAGCATTTCAAGGAAAAGGCAAGAGAACAGAATGGGCTGTTTGGCAGGAATTCCCAGAGCTCACTGCAGCACTTTAGCGCCTGTCAACATTCTCTAGTAGAATCGATAAATGATGTCATGTCCTATGTAGAGGCATTCATCGTTCGCCTTTACGACAAGTCCTTGGACATGATGAAAACAGCACGCATGGAATTGTTCTACTACAAAGCAGACATTTTGAGAACTTGCCACCTACAAAGGATGCATTGCTACAACACACATTAAACGCAGCACATCAGGCAGGCCACATCTGGAGCCAGGCCCTCATCTGTTCTCCAACCTTGCCTGACTCATATGAATGGGGATGGGTTATGACCAATGACAAGTGGTTACCTCGATGGACAACACTTGCCCCTATTACAAAGAACCACAAATGCCTTGTGACATGTCAGTGCAAGAAATTGTGCAAGCCTCTATGCAAATGTTGCAAAGCTGGTGTGAAATGCAGTACTCTCTGTGCATGCAGGGGAGCATGTTTCAATCAAGGAAAATAATGTGTACATATGACTCATTCTCAAAAGGTCAGGTCCATTTTCTTGCAGGACCCCCCAATTTTCCAATTCAAGGTAGAATAAAAATCCAGCCTTTACCAGCTTTCTAAAACACTACTGAATCCTAATTCACCACCCAGAAGATAATATGTGAAGCCATCTGCGAGGTATAGAGCTGTGATTACATAAGGTGCCATGATCACTGACGTTACTGATGACATGCAGTTTGCTTTGAAAATGTATCAATATTTACTTTTTAGTCATGCCACCACAGCAAAATAAGTAAGTGTTGAAGAACTGTTTGACATAAACCCAAATGTAATTGTCAGTCACTTTATTTCGTCAACATTTTATGCTGATATTTATGTCACCGTAACGTCAGTGATGAAACTGAGTTTTGTTTTTTTTCCTCTCAAATAATTACATAAAATCATCACAAGCTGCCATGACACAAACATAAACCTGATAGCAAACATTAAGAATACACATTAAATCCACCTCCATCATCATCCGTGTTGTCTATGGGGTGTCCACTTGTCACTGACGTTACTATGACACAAGTGTATGTCATCATAACATCAGTGATGAAAATCCACATTTTACGCTTTTCTGAATGCTGAAAGCCAGAAGATAGACCCACATATAATGTAAGAAACATTGTAGGAGTGAGAAAAGGGAAGGTTTCAATTTATTAGACAGGAAACGTACACATGTAGACACGAGAAGATCAACAAATGGTATCAACAAAGACAAGTGTCATCAAATCCTCATTTATTAAAGAGAAGAATACAAAAGTTCAAGAATTACTCCTCAAACTTGGATCAAGAACATCCGATACTTAGAGACCTATCGTCACATGAAATGAAATCAAAACATAAATTGAACAGTACACACATACTGATTCAACAAACGGGTTGAAAACATCTCTCACAAAGAGGTAACTTCAACTAAAAGATAAGAATACAAAAGTTCTAGAATTACTCCTGAAAAGTTGGACAAAGAACATAGCATACTTAGAGTTAGAGACCCACGGTCACATGAAATGAAATCAAATTGAACAGCACACACATACTGATTCAACAAACAGGAACTGTTTCACTGAGCCGCAAGATTGGAAACACTGAATGATGAAAAAAAGTCTACAGTTCAAAAATTCTAAGCCAAAAGCAGTCTACAAACTCGTACTTTATGCCAGGCCTAAAACAGTTTGGGCAATAAACAAATAACTGCAACCACACCGAGGCCAGCATTAGGCATTAACAAGAAACGTCCTCAATATTATACATTGTAATACATAAAAACACAAAGGCCAAATATACAGGTATTAACAAGTAACACCAATAATATACCTAACCAAAAGCAGTATATCATACATTAAACATAAAAACACAAAGGCCAACATACAGGTATTAAGTAACATGCTCAACCACACTTTCTGAAACTACAAGAGGTAACAAAGGAACAACATGATTTGCCACCCAGTAAGACTCATTCATATCCTCTCTCAGTGAAGACCAAAACACAGTGAGAAGAATGGCACTGTTACATGAAAGATCGGGATCCAGCTGAACATTGTAAAACTCCCTAAAACACTGTTGTCCCATGGCTGGATACACGGACACAACCCTGGCAGCAAAAACGTTTGCAACAGCTTTTAACTGCCACATACCCATGTATGTTCCCAGACGACAAATGTCAAGAACTTCAGATCTGTATGTTGAAACAACGTCATCAGAATAATGATCAGACAAAGTACATAAAAAATCAAGATTGTTTTGATCAGGACACAAATACCTAGACTTGTTGAGAACCTGCTCAATAATAATCCTCACTCGCACCTCAACGTGATGGTCCTGGTCACCAAACACCAACACGCTGAAGGAGCGAGGAACACAATTACCATCTGCCTCAACTGAAAAGGGGTACAGAGGAGCAACACTGTCTGGACACAATCTTAGAGCTGAGGCATCAACAGAACCAGAACAGTCCAAGAAACTTCTATTTACAAGAGTAGGGAACACAACGCATTGGTTATTGAAAGAAATATGGGTGAACCTGGCCTGCTAAAGGGATTTTAAATTACAAAAACAAAACCACATGTGTAGTCCTGGCATCTTCTCAAAGTTATGGTTGTGTGTCATTTTTTTTAAAAATTTCAAGGCGGCCATTTTTAATGTATGCAAATTAAGAATCAATTTGACCTTTTATGATAATTCTTTGGGTGTCATTGAGTTTGTTAGCCAGAACTTACTATGAAACAATAACACATTTATATAAATTGTATCATTCTTCTGTCAAAAGTTATTTATTCGGTTCGTATTTTCATTATACTTCAGTGGCGGCCATTTTTCATTTATGCAAATTAGGAGGGAATTTGACCTTACTTTTATTATAACTTTGATAGTGTCATTGAGTTTGTCAGCCATATATTTATGAAACAACACCAAAATATATGTTCTACCACTTGTCTGTCAAAAGTATATACAGTTATCATTTTCATTACATCTCAGTGGCGGCCATTTTAAATTTATGCAAATGAGGGCCTGAATATGCATGTGGACCTTGTGTTCGTTTCTATTTTCCGATGATATGGTGTAAGGTACTTACACGCCAAGTGGTTCCTTCCTACTAAAATTTGCAGTGGGTAATTGGACTGCTGGCCTAAGTCGGCCCACTTTTAGATTTAGATCCTAATGAGGGAAAAAAGCGAGCTAAAAATATACTCAAATAAAAAGACTTAGTACAACTACAAGTAGACAAATTAATCCAACTAAAAGGCAAAGAGGCCAAGGAAGCTTATGTTGATGGAAAGTGTTTCTGAAAATCCAGGTCAAACAACTTTGGAAGGTTTCACTTCAATATTATTTTTAAGGAATTCGTCTGAGGAAAGCTCAACAAAAGATTGACAGGAGGTGTTGAAGACATG